CCTGGGATTTGGCTTGTTTAGCAGGAAGCGGAATGTGAGATGATAGAGGAATACCATGGCTACTCAGAACCAGTTTGGATTCACGCTAGGCCACGTCCGGCACACGGTCCAACTGACTCATGAAAGTAGGAATGGTGCAGAGTCCCCAGAGCCTAACAAGTACTCAGGATGGGTGTCCACATGGGTCTGTCATCTTCCTCGTCCCTAAAGCGGAGGCTTCTAAGGAGGTGACCTAGGATGGCTGATGTGCCACTGTCTCTGGCCTCATCTCACCATGCGTGAGAGCCCGTCCTGATTCAGTCCTTCCCAGAGTGGCACCAGTGGCTGACCAGAGCCTTATATTGCAAACGCCTGCTGCTGACCAAGAGCCATCCATTCTATCAGCCGAACCCTTAGGCCTTGAGTCCCCTTTCCTGCCTCCTTCAACATCTGGAATCAAATCGGAAATTCATTCAGTTATCCAGATGCTTGCTGTAGCATGCCAAACATCTGTGCTGTGGAAACCAGGATGCAGAGAAGCCTATGTCTGTTTCTCCTGGCACATCTGGGCTGCAGAACCTCAGGGCGTCAGGGGACCCCATCCACAGCCAACATAGACTCGATGACCGGGCCGATTCTTTCACGATTTCCAAGCGGAAGGGTAAACACAGGAAGTCTGTGGTCGCAGCCATGCCTGCCAAGCCTTTAACAGAGCCCTGGCCTGGAAGAGATGGAAAACAATGGGGAGGGTGTGGGGCTGGGGTGGAGGTATCTGCTTTGTTTATTCCCAAGCTGCAGTAAATCAGACAACCAGGAAAGAAGGCCCGGGGAGGCAGAAGCCGTTAATGAAAACCTCCTCTGCCACGTTGGTTCCAGCGGTTCCAGAAAGAGCCACGGCACCTCCATTTTGTGCAGCAATCTGGTCTACCCTCTCCGTGGAAGTCCTTGGGGGTGTGGTGAGAGTACAGCAGTAGGGGGCCAAGGGGAAGGGACCACATCGAGGGGGAAGGACTTGCATCCCATTCTGTGACAATGTCGTTTCCAAGCTAAGCTCTGCCGTCGGTGCTGGAGGCACAAGGCCAGTGGGGCACATGGGTTCCTGCCCTGATGGAGCCCGTCTCCGGACAGGGAACAGACAGGAGACAGCTAAACACATAAGCAAGTGAGGTGATTCTGACGGCCATGCTGCAGAAAAATGAGAACTAATCTGTGACCCTGAACAGGGGTTAGACCGCCTCAGAGGAGGTGATGTCTTGGCTGAGGGAGTGACTCAATGTTTTGGTTTAGGCTTTTCTTTTTGAGGTCAGATCTCATTCTGTAGTCCAGCTAGCTGCAAAACTCCTAATCCTCCTGCCTCAGCTTTTTGAGCCCTGGATTATAAGTGAGCCTCCATGGCCAGGAGGAGGAGGAAGACATAGGTAAAGCCAGCACCAGAGGCAGGGTGACCCCAAAAGAACAGCCTGGGGAGTGGTGGTGGTGGCTACCTGTTTGCCTTGGTTTAGCCTCAGAAGCCAGTGATGATGTTGGTCCGTGTGAACAAGTACTTGTGCAGGGGTCTCCTATAGCTCTGCAGCAGCTCGGAGCTACAAACCACCCCATGGAAAAGGAAGATTTTCAGAGATGTTTCAAACTTCCTCAAGGCTCTTGATCACTATGCACAATGCGGGTGGGATTCCAGCCCACGCAGGCTGAGTAAGGCGACTGTCTTGCCAAGTCATCACCATCAGAAGCCATTAAGCCTGGCTATCTGTGAGGGCTCATTCCCTGGGTGGATTCTGCCGGGATCATTCCCAGGCCTGCTTCTCCCCTGCTATTTGCAGGGGTGTGGAGGGAAGGTCAGAAGACACTCATCTCAGATGAACAGACTGAGGTTTTATTATATGGAGGTGCCCTTGTCATCACCTCCCAGGTCCAGAAGACACCTGCATCTAGGGCAATAGTGAAGATGTCTTAGAAATATCTTCTTTCTGCTCCAAAGTGGGTTTTGCCAAGACCTGACTCAACTTCAGCCAGGATTCTGCTCGACCCTGGGCAGGTGGTCACTAAAGCTGGCACTCAAGGCTTAACCATGAAGAGGGCAGCTTGGTGAACCCCAGGTATCTAAGCTGACATTTTAAAAGTGACTCTCAGGAACTTGGTCACACCACTCTCATTGAGGAGGGGGTGTCCCCAAACTATTTGTATCCTGTTCAGTTTCATGGTCTGGGAAATAGGGGCTGAGAAGGGAGGAACTTGTGTCTCCCAAACTCCGATACCCACAGGCTGAGAGGAACTGATAAGGCCTGTGAACATCATGTCCTCCCCTCCAAGGACAAGGCAATCCCTCAGACTCATCGCCACCCCACCTCAAAAGTTGATAGGGGTGCAGAGACTGGCCAAGTAGCTGGAGAAAGCAAGAGCTTTCCAGACAGATGGACAGATGACAGACAGGGCTTGGCTCTCAGGACTCACTAGCTGTGCAAACGTGCACAGTTTACCTCCCCTGTCTGAATCTCCCAGCTTCTCCCTCCATCTACAGGCACCGCACTAGGTCTTAGCACAAAATTTCCATGGTCTTTCCATAAAGATTCAATGAGATTGTGAGACAGAGTGCTTGCCCCAAACTTGAGCACGCGGGATAATCACACTGTTACCACTGCAACTGCTGAGCCTCCCAGCCCAGGTGGGCATGCTCCAGACCTTCATGTCTTCCTCCCTTGCCAGCTCTGTGTCCCCATCCCCACCTGGCCAGTGACCAGGGTGACACGCCAGGGTTGTACCCATCCTCTTCGGGAGACAGATCTGGTTGTCCACGGTTAACCTCCAGCCCAAGCGTCGGGAGTGATTCCCACAGCTGCCACCGCAACAGCAGCATTAGCTTCTGTGCGTCGGGGCTAATGTATGTATTATTTACACGCTTTCCTGATGTACTCAGAACTCCCCTGAGGAGTATAATTGCACACTGGGAGGTACATTTGAATAATATTTACAATTAATTTTCATCAACAAACGAATGCATCAGGACCTCTGTGCCGCACAGATGGGCCCAGGGTTGGCTTCCCGCTAACCACTCCCCTGAGAAAGCTCGGAGCTTTTAAATACCTCCCAAGCCCTCCACTCTCTCCAGCTTTCCCAGTCCAGAGACCTCTGGGGCTCCTGCTAAGGCGGCTGTGCAGCTGCCTCCTGGCTTCCTCTTCCCAGTGCTTCCCAGAGAGAGAGAGAGGGGAGGGTTCAACACGCCGTTCTGGTAGGTTGGTCAGGGCCTGTGCCTCCCCAGCCCTGGTCCTCTGCCCACCCCCTGCTTACCGTGCTGCAGTCCAGCCCTCAGACCCCTGGAATCGCTCTCTCCTTCCTCAGCACTGATGCTCCTACAGTTCAGCCTGGAGCACCTCCTGACATCTCTACAGGTTCCTACTCTCCCCGGGGCAACACAAGTCCCTTCCCAAGGACATGTCCCTGGCCCCTCCAGGACAAGCATCACACTTCAGAGTGACTCTCTCTGCAAGGATGAACAACTTCATCTGAACCCAAGAACCACAGACCCCAAAGTCCCTTCCCTGAACAGGGAGCCCCAGGGAATGAGCTAGAAGAGGGGGAGTTCCAAGAGAGCCTGGCTAGTGGGGAGGAGGTGGCTCAGCGGAGGTGGAGGTTCCAAAGTCGAGGTAGCTTCCTCCTTCCCCTCCCTCCCCTCCCATCTTGCTTCTCTGGGCTGACAAAGGTGAAGTCTCAGGGACAGAGTTGGTTCCAAGTGTCCCCCCATGCACCCCACATCACTGCCCAGCTGTGTGTCCCCGGCTTTACTTTCTTCATGATCCAAAGGGACACAGTGTGTGTGTCCCCCACCTCCAGTCACAGCCTGGAATGCTCAGAAACACGGGGCAGTCTCCTCCCCAGTGCACTCTGTCCCCCTCCCCGACGCTCCAATGGTCTTCCCTTCTTGTCCCTCCACATCTTGTCTTGTTCCTTTGTTCCCTCAGCCCATCACCCACGCAGGAGGCATCAGTGAGGTGCTTTGCTGGGTCCCAGGCCCAGAGAAGGTGCTGCCCCTGCCAGTCTTTGGAGGGGCACAGGGGGCCACCACAGTTTGCCAGCGGCAAGGATTGCACATAGGCCCTGGGAGATTGGGGGTGCCTGTGAGAAGCCACAAGGACAAGACTGAAGGTTTCACTTAGTGCTCTGCATGGACAGGGATGTCACGACAACCAGGAGGAAGAGGGTCTGACTAGTGTCACCCTCCTGTTTGTCAGCTTTTCCAATGGCATCAAGATTTCCTGGTCCCCTGCCTGGTCTGGCCAACCCTGATGTCCAGGAAGTGTACACACAGTCCAGGGGGCCATGAGGCCCCAGTCACAGACAAGTGCCTCTGTGACATGATGAATCCCATACCGTGGCATGCCTCAGTTGCACATCTGTGGCCCTGGGGAGGACAATGGGAACACTAGGCTGTTTTTAAACCCCCCTCTGCTCTCTCGATCCCTGTAAGTCCAGGCCCTCTGAAGCAATCGGAGGTTCCAGCTTGTATCACTTAAGAACTGCCTCATCTCAAGCCCCAACAAGGGAGGAACAGTCTGTCCCCTGATGGACTGTGAGTCCTAGCAGCCTAAAGTTCAGGAACTGGCAAAGCCAGAGGCCATGCATCTGTGTATCACACCCTGACGGAGAACTGAAGGCAGACACTGTGGGCCCGACCCAGAGGGGCTGCCCCTGCCAGGTTCCTCCCTCTGCTTGTCCAGCAGACTTCAGGGTGTGTGTGACAGGAGCCAGGAGGAGGTGGAGGTTGGAGATCAAGAGCATTTCTATTTCTTTATGCATTCTGGGTTACTCCGAAATTAACATGCAATTCTTCATAAAGACTATTAAGACGCTTGCCCAGAGCCAGGCAGTGGTGGCCAGGCACTTGGGAGGTAGAAGGAGGTGGATCTCTGTGAGTTCGAAGCCAGCCTGGCCTACAGAATGAATGACAGGACAAGCTCCAAAGCTACACAGAGAAACCCTGTCTCGAAAAATAAAACAACAACAATAAAAAGATGTTCACACGGATCGACTGAAGAACGATATTTATGGCTAAAACCGCCAACCCACCCATCAGTTGCTTCATGACTCCACCTCCCCTTTGAGTCAAGGAAACTGAAGTTCAAATCCAGTTTGCCAGCATCTAACTGGGTCCCCTTGGGCCAGTCACTTAACCTCTCTGAGTCTCTGACTCCTCATGTGTATAAGGACCTAACTCGGGATTTCTGTAAAGAATAAATGAGAAGATACATGTGAAACACCCAGCGTGTGTGGGAAATGTTAAATGATGCAGGCTATCAAATCTTCAGTGAAGGAGCAAAGCTAGCCAGGCAGAGACCCAGGCTCAGGTCTATGTCACTGACCAGGAGTGTGTGGTGTCGGATGAGTCATTTCCCTCCCCTTGGCTTCCCTGCCAGGAGAAAGTGTCTGATTTGGGGAGGAAAGCTGTCCACCATCTGCCCACAGGGCTGTGATGCCTCAGCTGCAAAGTGTGATTCAAGGACTCAGATTAGCTAGTTAATGTCACAGCCTTTGGGATATGCTCGGAGGCTGGCATCTCAAACTCCACTCTAGACCAGTCTCCAAGCTTAAAGGGGATGGATGGGGGAGACGACCACTCCACCCTCCACCCTCCACCCAGGAAGGTGTATTCTAAGACCTTCCAGCTGGAGTTGAGAGATTAGGGAAGGAGAGAAGAGCCCCTGACGCGGAGTGAACAACTTCCGTAAAGATGTCCCCACCCCAGACTCGGGTTACAGTGCCAGGTGAATAGTCACTGAAGTCAAGGGCTGCCACCACCTGAACCCCAGGCACCCTCAGCCTAGAGCACTGTGTCCCTGTGGCACTCGTCTGCGATGTTCTGCAGATGTCCTTTGGGGTTCTCAGCTCTCCCTCTCCATTCTTTACCACCACAGCACACTGCGCCTTTTCAGGCTTCCATCGGTCCCCCAGGTCCTGGTTTTCCCAGTTCATTTGAAATCCAAAGTCAAGGTCTTGGAGAATGGTGGCGGGGAGGAGGGGAGGGGAGACTTGCTGTATGGCTGTATGGCTGTATCAGGTCTACAATAGGTTTGCTCTGGCCTCCTCACCCACACTGGAGACTGTACAGCACACACAGGGAAATCTTGTGCCTGTACGGAGAATCCTGCTCTTTTCTGTCTGAGTCAGTCAAAGCTGGCCCCCTACAGCCCCCACTCCAGAGGCTCGGACTTCCGTTTTTCTAGAAGAGTGTCTACACACTGGGAATCCCACTCAAAACATGAGTCACTTTGTGCAAAATGTAGTGGGCATTGGAGCATACCAGAAAGTTTCCCACCATGTCTCCCACTTCAGGAGACAAGTCCCTGGGTGTCCCTGGGCTGCAGCACCCATGAGAGTATTCCCAAGTAAGGCTCAGAGCGAGATGGTTTCCTTCTCATTCACCGAAGGCTTCTCGTTCAGTGAGGACATCTTGGTGAAGCTCCTGTGGCTGGGGTAGGAAGAAGGCCCCGTGTCCTCACTCAGAGCATTGACCAAGCGAGAGAAAAGAGCCACCTTGAATTTCTTAAAGTCATGGCCCATGAAGACATACAAAATGGGATTCATGCAGCTATTGGCAATGGCAATGGCAGTGGCCAGGGGCAATCCCAGGCTGAAGACGGAGCCCGGCACAGCCATGTGGTGGAGCTCCAGCAGGTAGAGCGTGTGGTAGGGGCACCAGCACAGGAAGAAGGTGACGATGATGGTGATGATGATCTTGAAGGGCTTCTTGGTCTTGGCCAGTCGGTTGCGCTGCAGCTTGAAGACGATGGTGAGGTAACAGGCAGTGATGATAACAACAGGGATCAGGAAGCCACAAAGGAAGCGGGTGATGGTGACCACCATGTGTCTCCTGAACCCTACAGGATGCCCTCGCGAGTGAGTGGAGTGTGGGAAGGACTCAGCGGCAGACAAGCTGAAGTTGTTGAAGCAGGTTATTTTCCCGTTTGCATTGTTCGTGTCCCGGAAGACAAGAGATGGGGAACTCAAGAAGAAAGCCAGGACCCAGACCACCACACAGGTCATATAGGCCAGCCGGACACTGCGGTGGTTCTGGGACCAGACAGGAAGTACCACAGAGATGCAGCGGTCAAAGCTGATGACCGTCAGCAGGAAGACACTGGTGTACATGTTGTGGCTGAGCAAAAAGCTGCTGATCTTGCACACGGCCTTCCCGAACACCCAGTGGTAGTCCATGGCGGCGTAGGTGATGTGGATAGGCAGGAAGATATTGAATAGGAAGTCGGCCACTGCCAGGTTGACGAACCACACGGTGTTCACTGTCCTCTTCATCTTGAAGGTGGCAACGACGATCACCAGGCCATTGCCTAGGATCCCAAGGAAGCACACCACGCTGTAGATCACCACCAGGAAGATGCGGGCTACCTTGGCCTCCTGCGGATCCTCCTCCTCCAAATCTATGATGGGGTCAAAGCCGTCAGGGTACTCATCGTTGTAATTGCTGGAATAGTTGTAAGTGTCGTCGTACTCCATCTCTGCAAGGGAAGACAGAGTCATGGGCTAAAGATCTCAATGGACAGGTGCTGAGGCATTGCCTGTCACAGCGAGGCCAGCCACTTCCTCCTCACCATCTGAGCAAGGCCAGGGCGGTAAGTCAACCATCTCCCCTTTGTCATTTCATTTCTTTGCTTTGTGTTCATTTGCCTAACACACGGGCATGTGCGTATGCTCATGTAGGTATGCGCATGTGGAGGGCGGAGGGCATTGTCAGAGGAGACACAGAACATGAAACTCATTAGTTCATTTAGTACTGACAACCATCTCCCCAGCCCCTCTTCTCTCCCACTCCTACTGCTCCTCCCCCAGTCCTCCTCCTCCTCCTCCTCCCCCTTCTCCTCCCCCTTCTCCTACTGCTCCTCCCCCAGTCCACCTTCTACTCATCCTCCTCCTCTTCCTCCTCCCCTGCTCTTCCTTTGCCTCTTACCCCTCCTCTCTCTAGTCCCCCTCCTCCTCTTCCTTCTCCTCCTAGCCCCCCTCCCACTTCTCCTGAGACAAGGCCTCACTATGCAGCCCTAGTTGATCTGGAACTCACTCTGTAGACCAAGCTGGTCTCAAACTCACAGGGATCCACCTGTCTCTGCCCCCACCCCAGGTGCTGGAATTCAAGGTGTGTGCCACCACACCTGGCCTACTTTATTTGTTTTACAAACATCTGTAGCCATCCTGTAAGACCCACACCATAATAAGAGTTAGCATATACAGACAATAACAGCTGGACCCCACAGGTTCAAGCAGGAAAGTAAGTCCAGATGGAGACCCAGCCCCAAACAAGCTGAACCTGCAGATGTGGGATGAGTTAGGGACTCTGCAGTGATTGAACAAGAGTGGCCCCCATAGGCTCATACGTTTGAATATTCATCCCCATTTGATGGAACTGTTTGGGAAGGACTGGGAGAGGTGGCCTTGTTGGAGGCAGCATGTCACTGGGGTGAGGTACTCTCACTGTCTCCTGCTTGTGAGATGTAGACACTCAACCATTATAGACCCTCTTAAACAGTGAGCCCAAGTAAATGCTTTCTTTTATAAGTCACCTTGGCCATGGTATTTTATCACAGCCATATAAAAGTAATTAACACAAATCTCAACAAGGACAATAATGAAACCGTTCACCGCCATCATAGGAAAAGACAGGGTTCCTAAATCAAGTCTCACCAGCCTCTTAAGGACCCTTTCTTCCTCACAGTCTGTGAGTGAGGCAATTAGTCATTCAAAGACCCCTAGGGTAAGGGCTATCACACCAACTCTACATGCAGTAGAGAAGGGAGCCTGTTGCTGTGACCTTGGTTCCACTCACATGCCCAAAGCCTCAGGGACAGCCATAGTAGCATCCTCCCCTGACCCCACCCTGCTGATGGCCACTAGTCACCTTTGGAGACACGAATCCCTACCTTTGGAGACCTTCACTGTTCACTGCTGCAGAACAGAACTCCAGTGTGTGTCTCCAGACAGTTGGTCACTATGCACAGCTGGAAATACCTGCAGTGGGGGAGAAGAGGCAGCGGTAGACCCGGAGCCCAAAAAGAGGAAATGGCAACTCAGAGAGGTGGGAGCAACTCAGCGAAGGTCTCCCTGCTGGGAAGGGCAGCGCCCTTCAACCTAGAACCACTGGCTCTACCTAGAACAACTGCCATACCCTTCCACACCAGGATAAGGGGCTAAACACAGGTGGGCAAAACGCCAGTGCTACACAGACTCAGGGGGTGGCTCCCTAGACACTCACCAACGTGGGAAGACCCAGAAAACACCAACCCACAGGGCAGTGGGGGGAGAGAAGATTGAATAACTGCTCCAGAACCTGCCAGGCACCAAGGATATATCCCTTCATATCATCTAATCTTCCCAGGGCCTCTTCCCGGTAGGCATTGCTGAGCTTACTTTACAAAGTATGGAAACTAGGCTGGTGAGATGGCTTGGCAGGTAAAGACACTGGCTGGCCAAGTCTGACAACCAGAGCTCAGTCCTGGGGACCCACACGGTGGAGAGAAGTGAGTCCCCAGAATTGTCCTTTGACCTCCATACATGAACATGGAGACATTCAGGCCCACACACATGTGCCAAATGAATAAGTAAATTATTTTTAAAATTAGAAACGTGCAGAACAAAAATGGCTCCTGTTTATAATCTAGTAATCCAGGGAAGCTGAAGCAGGGGCATCATGAGTTTGAAGCTAGCCTGGGCTACATAGTAAGACTGCCTCCAAAAAGCGTGAAAACAGAGGGCTTCAAAACCTTCTCCAGCCCTGGTGGTCACTGTGAGTTAGATACAGTCCTTCCTGACCTGGTGACCTTGTGTGGGGACAGTGACCCTTACACATTGTCAGGGCAGGCGGCCAGCTGGTCCTGAATCAGCCCCATAGCAACCCAGTTGAATTTCTATGCAGTGTCCTGAGAGTTTGTGAACCTGGAGGTGCCAGAGGCTGTGGCTGGGTGCAGGGTTCAAACTTAACTTTTGTCACCTGCCAGCTGTGCACTTCTGGCATATGACTTCTGTCCGAGCTTCAGGCTCCCCATCAACAAAACAGGGACGTTCAGATCACAGACCGTGTTCGTGTGTTAGAGTAATGGACATCAGGATAAGGGCAATTGGCTTGGCAAGGGTACACAGAAAGCCATCATACTTAGGAGTGAAACATCACTGCCCAGCGGTGCATGGGTTTGACTGAAGGCTCTGATCTCCACTGTCAGGGCCCTCTGGTCTTGACAAAGGGACTCTAACCCCAGGGAGGCTGCCAAGCAAAGCCTCCCTTTTTTAGCAACCAGCCAGTTCCCTTGCATTCAGCTCTGCTCCTCTGAGGCTTGAGCTCGGCCTCTCATTACAGACACTTTTGTTAAATGAAAGCCACTTGGAAAATTTCACTGGGGCTTTGAGCCCAAGAGACCCAGATGTGAGCTTGGGTGTCGCTGTGCTTTGTAGACTTGGAGCGCTTCCAAGGAACGGGGCAGTTAGAATGAAGGTGGGGTACACCACGGTGGAGGAGCACCTTCCCAGCACCTGAGCACTCACTCACCCGCAGCACCTGTGGGTTCATCATCCCTACTGTAGGAGGGGAAGGGAGGGAGGGAAGGAAAGAGAGGGGCCCTGGTGTTGGGAAGACTTTTTGTCAATGACAATATGAGGTGCGGCTTGTGACTCTTACGTGTTGAGAGACTGGCCAGAGCGCTGTCTCAATGCTCCCACTGTGTGTGTGTGTGTGTGTGTGTGTGTGTGTGTGTGTGTGTGTGTGTGTGTGTGTGTGTGTCTGTCTGTCTGTCTGTCTGTCTGTCTGTCTGTCTGTCTGTTCGTGGATGAGCATGCATGCATGTAAGCTTGCTTGTTGAGGAATATATCAAGTATCATCCTCAATCTCTCCCCATCTTTTTTATTTTATTGTTTTTTTGAGTCAGGATCTCTCACTGAATCTGGAGCTCGCCCATTCTACCGCTTTGGCTAGCCAGCAAGGCCCTTGCATCCTTCTGCTCCTGCCTCCTCAGTACAGGCATTTCAGATTGGTGCTGCTACACGGGTTTTTGCTTTGTTTTGTTTCCTCAGGATGCTGGGGTTGAACTTAAGTCCTTGTGAGTGCAAAGCAAGCTGTTCACTGTGTGAGCCATCTCCCCTAGCAACGGACCCACTCTAACCCTGGAGAAGCTATCATGGGACTTGGGGAGCAGATGGGCCTGACCAAGCACACAGACGGGTGAGAAAGCCATCTAAAGCCTGCAGGGCGAGCGCGGGGCTTGACTGCCACGCCGCAGTGCCTTGACAGCTGCTGCCACATGTGCGTGTCCACTCTTCCTGTGCTGGGCCTCACAGGCACCAGTGATGGGAAACAACTCCCTTAGGATCTCTTCCCACAGTGGACTCACTGTGCTGGGCCAGGGTGAGCCCCAAGTATCCCGAGAAGTAAGAGGGGCTGGCATTCCGCCTGGGAGCCGTCGGCTTCCTGGGACAAGGGGCCTCTGAGTGGGAGTAAAGGGCGAGCACAAATGAGGATGCAAAGGCTGAGAGAGGAGGGAGAGGGCTCCACCCAGCAGCCTCCATCATGGCAAAGGGACCCAGAGGCACTGCTGGCCATAGGAAGATGACCCAGATGACGTCATGTCTGGTTCTTAGGCTGAGCTGGGAGCAGCTAGGGTCAGAGGCTGTGTCATTTCATCTCCGAGCCAGGGCCACAGGAATGGCTCGGGAGGCGTATATGTCCCTTTGCCAGGTCTGTCATGGTTCATCCTATTAGAAGCAGGTCCTCTCTTGGTGTAGCCTTCACCTCCCTGTCCCTAGCCCTCCTAACTGGGGGAAGTCCCTCACCCTCTGCCTGTCACCCCATACTTCTAGACCCCATAACTTGAGCTGCACGGATTTTCTGGGGTGGTGGGGGGGAGTCAGTAATCTCAACACTCAGTTGCCTTGTCTGCAAAGATGTGAGAGAATAGAGTGATAGGTCCTGCCTTGTAGGTGGCACCAAGGACTAACTCCAGTGTCAAGTCGCAGCTGGCTCCCACATGCCTCTTGGATACCCAAACCCTCACATCCATTTCTGAAATAGCATATTTGCATGTGAAACCACACCCATTCTGCCAGATACATTAAGCTTCCTGGGGATTGAGTTCAATGTCTAATGTCACAGACATGCTGTGTGCATAGCCTTTGTATCGCAGCATTCCATGACAAGAAGCGAGACAAAAAAGGCCACATACTGTCAGAACGCAAGCAATTTCAACCGAAATGGTTTCCTCTCTTTTTTTCCCTTTCTTTTCCTTTTTCTATTTTGCTTCTTTTTTTCTTCTTGGTTTTGTTTATGGTGTTTTGTTTTGTCTTTGTTTTTTTGAGAGACAGAATCCTGTTTTGTGGGCCAGGCTGTCTTCAAACTGGCAATCCTTCTGCCTCTGAGTACTGGGATTATGGGTATATGCTACCACATCTGGCTTTCCAAAATTCTTTTTATCTTTTCATCCAGTGACAGAACATTCATCAAACTGGCTATGCTGAGAACTTGCCTGGCATACTGCGTGGTTGTCCTTCATGCCCCTGCTGGGGGCCTTTGTCAAGGGAGATGGGCAAAGGGCAGCCAGAGAAGCTAAGAAATGGCATGTTCCAGTCCATCTGCCTTTCGTGCTTGGGTTCAGGGCCAGGACACGGTCACAGGGCTGGCCGCTCCTGGTTCCTAACCCCTGTCATAGTGCACCTCCCTTCCCTGCCCGGAACACCATGTGCTGTGACAATGGGTGCCCGGCCTCTGCCAACGTCAAAGAGTGATAGCATTTCTGTCACTCACATTCCCTATACACCATCACCAGCTAAAGAGCTGCTACAGCAGGGATAGAGCCCCAGATGTCCTGCATGCATCTGGCCAAGGTCCCCCTAGCTCATCCCAGTCCTGGTGAGCTTAATGGAGAAAACCCAGAAAAGCCAAGTCAAGGCCCCAGGAGGCCAGCACCTTCCAAGTGTAAAAAAAAAAAAAAAAAAAAAAAAAAAAAGTATGGTGGTATAGGCCTGTGATTCTCACACTTAGGAAGGAAGCAGGAACATTTTAGATACCAAACCAACCAGAGCTACATAGTGAGGGCTTGTGAGAGAGGGGGGAGATAGGAAGGTAGGGAGGGAAGGAAGAAGAGAGAAGAGAGAAGAGAGAGAGAGAGAGAGAGAGAGAGAGAGAGAGAGAGAGAGAGAGAGATTTGACAGTAGAAAATGAGGCCATGTGAAGATGAAACCAAGACAGCCACCTGGAGCCACCAGAGAAGGGAGGAGTCCCCCTGGGTGATCCCACCTGACCCATTGGATCCCACCTGACCCATTGGATCCCACCTGACCCCTGCTCCCATAGCTGTTTTCTCAGCCTTAGGAAATAAGCACCAGGACTCGGGCCAGCTCCCATGGCAGCCTGTTTACACGGGCAGGACCTGTCCTCCAGTAGTAGACTCTGGCTGCCTTATAGAAGTGTGCAGGTGGCTGGTTCCCCGAAGACAATGGGGCCTGGTTCTGCTTTGTCGCCTCAGGTCAGTGAGAGCAAACTGGGACTCCAACTGTGGCTCCTTCTGCTCTGTTCTATTCTGTCTTCCTAACATTGGGTGGATGCAAGGGATTTCTTCTCAGTATGGTGACCTCCAAGCCATGGCGTCTACATCACAGCCCTGGGTTCTGGGAGTGAACAAACCCTACCATCACTTCTGCCTCCCCCATTTTATGTGTCTGTTAAAACAGTCCCAGGCTCACAGCCAAAATACACCCTACGTGGCTCTCTCCCATTTTAAAGATGAGGAAACAAGCCGGGTGATGGTGGAATACACCTTTAATCCCAGCACTTTGGAGGCAGAGGCCAGCCTGGTCTACAGAGCAAGTTCCAGGACAGCTAGGGATACACAGAAAAACCCTGTCTTGAAAAACAGGAAGGAAGGAAGGAAGGAAGGGAGGGAGGGAGGGAGGGAGGGAGGGAGGGAGGGAGGGAAGGGAGAGAGAGGGAGAGGGAGGGAAAGATGGGAAAATTGAGGCTTTAGAGACAC